CTGCACAAAGCTTAATCAGATTATTTGCATAACAGTGATCCAGCTCGCTTTACGGTGCCTCAGAGATATGGCTAAGACTAAATGAAGGACATTTTTATTGGGTCACTTTTATCGCAAAGTAAAGCAGGCGAGGGGGGCATGACGGGGTGGGGGTCGGATGCACTGAGGGACAAACTGCTGTAAATATGTGTGATAGAAATAGTTCTCGCTCAAAAAGCGCTTATTTCATCTTAAGTATATTCTTATTTATATTCAGACACAAAATAGATACTGTGCGCAGAAGACGTGCGGTCTACTTTTCGCTGGCCTTGCCTTTGAACTTGACCACCATGACGGTGATGTTGTCAGGGCAACCGCGGTAGAAGGACTGAAGGACGATGCTCTTGGCGCCAAAGTGCGGCTCGTCCAGTCGTTCCCTGATGAAGCGAACCGCCTCCTCGTTGCTGAAGGTGTCCCACAGGCCGTCCGACGCCAGGATCATGAACTCGGGCTGCAGCTTGTTCAGGTCAAAGGACATGACGTCGGGATCGGGAATGACCACGTTGAGGTTTTTCAGAGGATAATCGCCCAGAGAGCGGGACATGGCCAGGATGCCCTGGACGCGCCACGAGCCATTGAAACTGATGAAACCGCCTGAGGATGCGTGGGTTGGATATTAGAAAAAATGTAAGAAACCAGGATAATAAGACAGAAATTATAAAAACAAAGGTGGGAGGAGACACACGTGTATAGCTGTATAGTTACTTAACCATTAAAATGTAAAATATTCTGACAGATTAAATGACAGGATGTTTCATCAACTAAGAAATGACATCAAAACGCAAACATGGCTCTTTGCCACTGACCCAGTGCAGCACTGTTTTTGTTAGAAACATTTAAATTCATTTCACATCCTGCATGTACAGCTGTGAGTCCACTATGGCTTCCACAGATATGCAGACAGGGAATTATACTGGAAATTACTGGATACTAGGCCATGAAGACTTCCAAATTTGCAGTGAGCAAGGCCATAAGCAGGATGTTAAAAAAGTACTGAGGTTAAAAGTTCAGGCCATGGCTATAAAAAAATCTAATTATGTGTAACTCTGACTAATAAAAAAGGTCCAAAATTCCCGCAAAAATTCCCAGAAAAAGCAGAGGACTTGGTCTCTCTGTCCTCGCTTTAGCAGCCACTGATTCTTCAGCTGCTGTGAGGTATTAAAAGTTAAGCTTGTAAATGCATCTTCAAGCATTTATCGTTATATTTGTATTCAAATAGCCCATGAATTGTGTTTTTTTCCCATTAATTTCAGTATTTTAGCATCATTGCTGCTGACAGCATGTTACACTAACCCTCAGGAGGCACCAAACTCACTGTGGACCATTTATGGATAATTCAGCCGCTAAATGAGCTTGTTTGGCTCATGAAGCTTTATTACATCTTTTCTTTTTGTTGTTGATGTTATAATAGAAAAAATTCGCCCGTTTTTTTCTTCTCTAGTCTCAGTCTTTTATCTTTTTTGTCTCTTGGTGCAGTCTCCGTCCTTTTTTTGTTAAGAAAAATGTAAAAATCCCAGCAAGGTTTAAGTTTATGATTAAATACAAATTGGTTATCATTTCCTAGCACAATATAAAGGAATGAGGACAAGTTCAAGACTTTTCCACAGAACAGCACAGACTGTTAAGAATATAGCTAATTAATATTATTATAAAGCTTTAATATAAATGTAAACATATTTTATTATTAGTGTGCAAATTTTAGGGGAAAAGGCCTCTGATTTACTGCGTTTTGTATTTTTTTAAATAAATTAGTCTTAAATCTTAAATGTGAATTTGCTGTTCGGTACTTGATTTATTATTGAGGAGTTAAAAATATTTTTATTTCTATGTTTTTATTTAAAAGTGACAGTGCAGTTTGACGTAGTTCCAGTGCAGAGCATTAAACAGTTTACAGTTTATAATTGTTGCTAATTTCCTGCCCTTGTCCCTTGTTGGGCTTTTACATCGACAATGCACAGGCAAGGTTTACAGCGTTCACGTAAATTTACTTTTCTGTTATCAGACCATAAATTTACTCAGCCAGATGCTGAGTGCTGGCGTTTTAAGGCTGGTGTTGGAGTAAAGGCTCTTCAGAAGAGATCAGTACAACAGTCATTCTGCACATCACAGTTTATGATTGAAGCTTTGGGTGCACTTCTCACTGAAGGCTGCTAAAAAACTGTAGGAAATTTCTCCACTGAAAACATGCTTGTCTTATCAGTCAACAAAATCTTTCATGTTCAGTACCAAATTGGACCATTAGATGGCGATAGTGGGCTATCCTTCTGCCGATCACACTGACTAATCTGGAAATTTGCCATCAAACTCTCCTCACGCAGAGAGTATGCAGATTGGGTTGGAGGGAGAATTGCGCCTACGATTACACCTTAAACACTGAACACCGTCTGGCTGGTTTTGATAACATGCTGCTTTAGAAGCAGATAGTGTTATCAGTCAGTAGGTTTTGATGTCAGCCTGAGACTGAGATGTATGAGGGGGGAGGACTGTGCAATGGCTTTTAGCTTTGATCATAAGAAGACTCATTTCATGCTTTCATAGCAACAATGTGAGTTTGGATGCTCCCTCAAGTTTTAACTGAAGTCTTTTCTGTTGCTCTGAATATAATGAGAACTGCGTATGGGTCTGGATCGCAGCCCATTTTCTCACCGGCCTTCTTGATCCTCTTACGCTCCTTGAGCTGGTAAGGTTTGTGGTCGTGTGATAGAGGAATGGCATTGCCGTCTTTATCGCAAAGAACTCCGCGTGAGTCTCCAACATTAGCCACTGTCAGCTCCTTATCAGACAGCAGGGCCACCAGACATGTAGTTCCTGAAACAGAGGAGGGGAAGGGTAGAGGAGAAGCAAGGAGATGATAATCACGGTAGCTGGACATGAATTTCATAGCGGTCCATCAAACAGCTGCTGAGATATTTCTGTCTTTACCAGAGTGATGGAAAAACAGCATTCATGTGGTTCAAAAATACCATGCTGTTATTAATCAGTGTTTATTAAAAACAATGTGACAGCTGATAAATTTATGTCAGCTCATTATATCCCCAATTCTTAAACCTTAGTATGTGTGATTGAAAACTTGATCCAGTGACAGACACACAATGTTTTACAGTACAGTATAAAAACACAGCGCTCTTCCAAGACACGCACGTCCGTCCTGAAGCCACGTGCAAACAATTCAAACGCTCTTTGACGCAACTTCTCTTTCTTCCACTCTTTTTCTCCTTCCTCTCTTTGTTTAGCTTCCCAGCCAGGCAGAACAGTGTATGTACTCAGGATCTGAGGCCTATTGTATGAGATCCAAAGTCCTGTAGAGAAAGAACAGATCTGCCTGTTTGGCCATCTGCTCACACCGAGCGAAGACAAAAGTGGACAGAGAGAGAGGGACACAGGAAAGAGGGAAAAGAAAGTTCTGGACCACCCGGACAGCGAGAGAGGGGGTAGAGTCAAGTCACAGTCAGGATTTTAGGGTAGAAAAATGCCAAAGGAGACAAAAAAGGGCTAAAAACTAAGCAGGTTTAAATGCCACTACAAGTATGTGGATGATCTACTAACATTTCAAACTTTTCTTTTAAGTTTCACATATTTGTGCCGATGCTGACTGAAAATGTATGTTTCAGCTGTTTCTCATTGAACCCGATGGAATAAATCTCTTCTCCGTGAAGGCTTCTTCCATCAGTTTGCAGTTATTCTGTCCCAGACCTGACGCAGTCGCTTGGTGAGCAGTGAAACGGTAAAGAAAAGGCTGCAGTGCATGATGCAGATGAAATAAAACAAGTGTGAGATGGGCATAGAGCTGGAGGACAGAGACAATTCCTCAGCAGGACAGTGATTTTGTTATTCCCCTTTGAGGAAAGATTTGGGGTGAAACTAGAGGCGGAAAGTAACTAGTCTGAAGTGAAGTGAAAATTGATGCCGCTTAATTGTAAATCTCACAGACCTTGTGAAAAATCTATTTCTATTAGTTTCACCACGTTATGCATCCCTAATCCTTGTGCCTATAGCTGTCACTGCACTGTGCCATGCTGTCCAGCTAATTATCCTTATCTAGTTCCCATGGTGATAGAGATAATGGACTGAGGTGCCTTCCTAGCACACCCTTCCCCAATTAGCCCAGCCTCTCAGTGCACACATTCAGCATTCCCTATTAAAATGGCACCATGGCCCATATGCACCCTGTGCTCATGCTAATTATGGGCTTAGCTTGGCCAGGCACACCTTCAACACTCCAATACCATTAACATCTTAACCCCAGTTAGTCTCTCACTTCAATTTGCAACACTGCACTAATTCACTCTTTCAGTTAGCAAACTCTGACGGGCTCTATTTATGCTCTCAAATACATCTGGAGAGTTCAGTCTAAGTGTATCCACAGCACCTGAATGGATTTATGCACTTAGCCAACCTGCTTGGCATTTAGGTGAAAAATGTGGGGTCAGGACTGCCACCACCGCGCTCGCCCTACCTCGCGGTCTTCTTCAAAGCCTTTCTAAAAACACTACCTGCCCATTAGCACATCCACAGTAATTTTATCCCTTAAGAGCTGCCATCCTGCCTTACTTCCTTGGACTTGAACTGTTAACATTTAGAGCAGTATATTATTTTTAGAATGTGGATCATTTCGACCTGCTTTATAAAGTCAGAGCAACACTCTGGATTTGCATATCACGCCTCTCAGACCGTCTCAGCTTTTTATTTTCATTCCATTCATTTTTTTTCACCCCTAAATAACTACAGCAGCTTCCTCGGGGTCAGTCCCAGCCTTTCTGGAGCCCTGTGTAAGATTTAGCTTTGGCTTTAGTGTGCAAAGCCGAACCAACCTATCATTTCTCCACTCTCTCGTTCTTGGCAAAATAGGAGAGTAGCAGAAGATTTGATTTAACTGGGCTATGACCATATCTATTCTAGTTAGTCTAGTTCAGGGAGTTTGGTTGTCAAAGTCAAACCTTAATCCGCTTTAACGTTCCTCCCCTAAAGCTGGAATGCATGCTTAATATAAACAGCACAAACAGAGGTATTCAATTCACTTCAATGTTATTTACTAGGGGTGCAACGATACACAAAATTCACGGTTCGGTTCGATACTTTGGTGTCACGGTTCGATATTTTTTCGATACAAAAAAATGTTCATGCATTTTTAATTTGTCATTTAAAATTATAAATTTATATTTTAACTCAAAAGTACAGTTTTTAAATTTAACCCTAACCCTTGTGCGTGTTTTTTATTTTGACAGCGAATGCGCACCTGCGGACCACTTATGTGCAGCCCTGGTTATTTAGCTCGTCATATTGCAGCCACAGAAATTATTTTGTCCATGAAACCATAAAGCTGCACTTTCTTTTTGCCTTATAGTCTGATTTGTCATAACTTCTCCGTTTTGTGGTAAGCTTTTCTTTGGCTGTCACTTCTTCACCCTGACCTGTCTTATTTGGCTCAGCAGAACTGAAATGCTTTTACACACGCACTGATATAAGCTCAGCGATTCTCTGCGCGATCAACCTCTCACATGTTTAAGCTTGCTGCGGGAGATTTCACTTGTCATGTTTGCATAGTAAGCTAACGATTAATAAGACGATGTCAGAGGAATTGGTGCGCAGATTATCATCACTCACAGATCAGTGCTGTCGCTCTCTATACACAGTGCCCAAGATTGCAAAGTGAAAGCAAAAAAACAAGCGCAAATTCAAACGCGACTTCAATATGTCACATATTGACAGTGGCTCACCGATGCCAATGGCATAATTACCCAGCTACATTTCTGAAAGAATGCAAAAGCATTGACATATATTTTTCCTACAATAGCCCAACGGGCAGGGAAGAGATAGAATTTTGGTAGCCCGTCTGAAAAAAATCGCTAGCTCCGGGACGTCGGGCTAGCGATATTGCGAGCCCTGTATCTGATTGAGGAATCACTCATCTTTGGAAAAGAGAGTTTATTACAGAGAAATGTCTCTTTCCAAAATAAAAGCTATACTATCCGCTTCTTCTGGGCTATATTCTCAGCAGCATAAGGAAAATCATGTGCTAACAGCTGTCTAAATGACTCGGCTAAAGTTAGTAGCATGCTTGTTGTTTTTGTCTTTGCACTAGGATGATGTCGGCGTAAATGTGCAGTCATATTCGTTGTGTTCCCACTAGTGCTTTCAGGTTAATCTCGTTGAAATGACCTTAACGCCACAACAGGGCAAATCTCCGATCGCTCTGTGCATGGGGCTAGATGCCAACACGTTAACGAGCTAACTGCGCTAGCACACTAGTTCACACCAATGTAATTGAGCATTGCATGGCACATCCAACATACTGTTTTACTTTAGTCCATGACTCGCTTACCTTCAGGGTCATACGTCACATGAAAACCAAAATAATTCCAAACGCCAGATCTGAGTGAGGGTGGGGGAGGTGCCCTGCGCTCTTCCTTCTGACGATGCTGTCTGTGTTGAGCGCTCAGTGGATCTGCGCTGGACAGTGCAGCCTAGGCGGAGTAGTCGAACACAGATTCACTGAGCGCTCAACACAGACAGCATCGTCAGAAGGAAAATTGATAAAATAAATTACAAATGTTGTATTGTTCGATACATATGCGTACCGAACCGAAAGCACTGTATCGAACGGTTCAATATCGATACGAATATCGTTGCACCCCTATTATTTACATAGCTCCAAATCAAAACAGCATTCGCCTCAAGCCGCTTTATTTTGTAAGGTAAAAACCTTGCAAAAACACAGTGAAAATCCCCATGATCGAGCAAGCACTTTGGCGACAGTGGGAAGGAAAAACACCCTCTCAACAGGAAGAAGTTGAGGGTAAGGGGAGGAAAATGCTCTCCTTTCTTGGTCAAAACCCAGTGGCCACCTTACCCTCCACGCAATTTATCTGCCCAAACTTCAGTTTCGCGTCCAGCAGAAATGAGTAGAAGCCAGCAAAGCCTTCTCTCTAATGCTGCACTCATTAATTGATCTTTATACAACTTGTGTAGTAGACCTCGAGACCTGAATGTTGGTAGAGTTAACCTTTAATATAATTAATCTTCCAGTTTCTTTTCCCTTCCCACAAACAAGAGGGTGCAGAAAAAATAAAAAGCTTAACGCCCCGAGGCCTTACAGACCTTAACAACTCTTTTAGAAATAACATCAATCTTGCAAAGACTTAAAACTTGAATTCTAAGGTGAGAGCGAATTCCTCACACACACACACACACACACACACACACACACACACCAAGCTTACAATCTTTTTTCAATCTATCCAAAGGTTGCACAGTCCTGCAGTGGGCAGCAGCTACTTTAAAAAGTCTCCATGGTGAGTTCAGGACAACGGAGGTGCAACTGTGACGTATGCCTGACGTTGGAGCCCATCAAACGTGTTCCATACTAGCTTTCTTCAGTGTTAAGCTGATGTTACAGCTTTTCCTACCATTCAGTCTGTTTTTAAATACTTACAAACTGATCAGTCATAATCTATTCCTCCCTTTGACCACAACAGAAAGAGGAATGCTTGAGGTCTGCTCCTAAATTACATCACGTATTACTGGAGGATTCCTCTGAATCTGCTGTAAAGAGACTGGAAGCATGAAGAGAGGGCTTATATGATGGCATGCTCTGAGGCTCATTTGCAAAAAGTTGACTTTTTAAAATGAAGGGATGGTATTCTACCTCAGCTTCAACACTGCCAGTTGAAAAAAGCCACTAATTTTATCAGGCCTTTCAGAGCCCTTAGGGCCCTCTCTTAAGTTATCTAGAGAGAATTGTTCTGACTTCGATGTTGGTAACATCTGAATATCTAATACCCTATAAATAATCCATTCACATAAGGATTTTTGTTTGTTTTTCCTCTTTATACAGATATATAATGCTGTGACTGGTTGTGACAAAGTGGAGTAGCAGTTGCAATGCTCTCCATTTTTTCCCCGGGTTTGTTTGTGTAAGTGTTCTGTTGCCGGCAAATCAAACATTCTGCAAATTAAGGCAAATACTCAGTCACGTTTCTTTATATTTTATTATGTTACAGATTAAGTCATTTGTTCATACTTACTTTGTTTTTCTTTTCAGTCTTCATGAAATTAAGTTCACTGTAAATAAATTGCTCACTTCCCTACCACCTTCCTTGGCGTTCGAGTCTGACTACTTCACACTGGGCAATTATTCAATAAAAGATATTGTTGGCCAAAAAAAGCTGATGTCACAGCAACCAGTGTAAAGTACTTTTCTCTAGCCTGAACATTTATAAAACCTTATACTGGAAAAAGGTTTTAATCTTTGCTGTGTCCTATTCTCACTTTATTTACCTAATCCCAGAAATAATGTTCTCCATGCTTTAAACACTACAGACTGATGTGCAGCCACCAAATATCCATCAGTTTCAGGTCACAGGGTAGGCATTGATGACATTGATGACATGCTCGAAAGCGCCTTCACAGTGATTAGTTGGGATCATAACACCCTGCTGGCCTTCATAGTTACTGGCACCAAAATTCAAACTGTTTCTTCTTCTGCCCCATAAACAAAGTGGCTGCAGAGTTTGAAACAAACTGCTGCAAGCTGACTTTGTTTGAACAAACATTTAGTTAAAGTGCATTTTAAAGTAACAACAGCCATCAGTCATACTTAGTCAGCTGTAACTGTTTCTGTTTAAGTAGCAGCACAGACACAGTCAGGAGGCTGAGTTTTGTCCGATTATGATCAAAAAGAATTTATAAGAGCCGACATTTTCGAACAACTTCAACAACCACTCTAGCTGTAGTATTAGGTGGTAGCAGACCGAGTTCATGGTCAGATTTTGATCATGACACCGTAGCTCAAATGATCTTTTTAAACCATTCCAACTGAGTAAATTTGAGCAAATTACTGCATTTAAGCCTGGGTGGTCTCTATCGATGGTGATGTGTAGTTAGATTTCTGGGGAGGTGCACGTCAGGTTACGGCCTAGGTTTGACAACCTTAAATATGACACGCTTATTTGACTTTTTGTTATTGCAAATAAATACATTTAATTAAAAAACTTTCAGAATGATCTAATGAAAAAGCAACTGACCTCACTTTATATATGTAACTGGCATTATTATGAAAAAGAAAAGGAAAAAAGGACTGGATCTGCCACAGTTTACACAGCCTCATTCCACACGCACTGTAGGAGAAGGGTTTAAAAAAACTGCACCGAACACATTTGGTATAAACAAATATTTGCCTGAAGGGGAATATGTGGCACACAGAACATACTAAAATTAAATGATTAATGGCAATAAAGAAACACAAAAACATACGCATGAGAGCAAAAACACAACGAGTAGTGCCTCACTAAGTGGAGCTTCATTCTTGAGAGATTTGAAGATGAAAATTAATAAAGACCGGTGACCTCCGGGAACCCTTACAGTGTCTCTTAGAGGTCAGAAACCGGAGAGGATGTGAACAAAATGATGCCGTGTACATGAATGTTTAATTTCTGCTGTGCAAAAAAGTTAATTTATTTTTGTTATACATATTTTCATCTTCCTGGAGACAGACTATGGTGCACGTAATCTTTCTGCACAAATTTAAATCTTACATTCCCAACCTAAATAGTTGTTTAATAGAATAGACAGATGCCTTTATTTTTTTTTTTAAGATGACATGGCTAACAGGTCAGCGTGGCCTCTGCTGACTGCAGATTATTGGACGAAAGCAAAACAGTTCATTTTTCTGTTGTTGCATGCAGACATGTCACCCAGCCACATAAAGATTGGTACAAGCAGAATACCATACAGCATTAAGGAGACTGTTTCCATAATAGACTCTAAGCTCCTGGGCACTGCATCAAAGTCCCATCTTCCTTATCTTTCTTTGAGGCGCTTGTGTTCGCTGATAAACAACACAGGGATGAATGAACAGAGGGATAAATCTGATACGCTGTTGTCCTGGGGACGGGGAGCTGAATTGAGAGTGTGTATCTCTATTCTGCCTCACTCCCTCCCCTGCTAGCTCAATTTAGGCCCCCCGATTACTACAGAAAGCAGGGAGCTGCGCGCCCTAAACGATGCGATTGTGGAATCAGATACAAGGACAAGAATGCACAATTACCTGATCAGCAGATTCCCCCGAGACACCTGCAAGAAAGCCACAACAAATGCCACAGCAAATTCAATCCCTGAACTAGACAACACAGGAGCCCATTTATTGTAATGGAGATTGCAAGTTTATCTAGAAGCATCATGTCAGTCTGTCTCGCTGTGCTGTCCAAAAAGAAGGATGGGGCATAAGAAAAAGATACGAGCAGATGGATGTGTGGAAAGTATCTTTAAAACTCAATGCAACAGGTCCACTTAAGAACAGAAGAAGGCAGCGGGATCAGGAGAGGAGATTTACTTTTGGCCCCTTTTGGGAGTGACAGATCAGAAAGCCGATAATTATCTCCAGATGGAGAGGCAGCAAAGGAGGTGGAGGATAAAGCAACGAAGAGCAGGTGACTTCAGCAGCAAAACCAAACCTTCGAGAAGGAAGGATCAGCTGTCTTCAGACTGAAAGCTCCAACTCTGTTTTTAATTGACCTCGTTAACATCCTTTGTCACATGTCAAGCATTCACAGAAGGATGTGAGGCTTTCTCAGGGGCTCTTTCATACCCGTGACTGCCACCTTAGATGTGATTCACATGTCACTGTTGATGCAGGTTTTCATTTAGCCTCTATGCTTTCTCTTTACCCTCATGTCATCGGTTGAATGAGAGAATTCCCATGTGCTATAACTAATTTTTCACAGATTTGACCTTCATTCCTGCTCGTTACAGAAAGAGTAAACTTGCCATAAAATAAAGGATTATATTTCATATTCCACAGCATGTCTAGGGCTTACAGTTAACATGCATGTTACACAGGTGTGGGTGCCGGAGGTGGTGAAATGATGAAAAATTCACCTGTTTACATCACAGAAGGTTGGCAAGTATGGAGTGTGTGTATTAGCTACGCACGCATTAATTGCTTTGTCTGCTCGGCCTTGATTACCGTTTAAATGGATTTTGCTTTAATTGCGGAAACAAAAGCAGGTAATTCAGCTGCATCTGGAAGGCAGATCTGTCTGAATCAGCATTGCAGCAGGCGGTGGTGAAACTGTATGTAGTCACCGCATCGCTAAAATAACTGAAGACCTGAGAACACGGCAACATGATGATCACCACCCCCAAAAATGTACAGAAAAACAAACCCCCCCAAAACCCACTTCAAAAGAGCACGTCTCAAGTGACAGCTGACCTCACAGGTCTATTACAAGTGAGAGGCTCGGCCCTTGAACTGTGATGCATGTTTACAATTATTAATTAAGGCCACGTGTTTTTTTTTTTCTTCTTGCCCCATGTGAGTTCTTTACAGCTGCTTTCAGTAACTTTGCAATTAACTGCACTTGAAGAAAATCGTCCATACAAACAAAACTTTGCAGTTACAACTCTGAAGACAGATTCTGTAAATAAAGACCTACTCGAGACTCCTTCCTCCTGCATTTACTCTCTCACCTTCACTTTAACCGGGGCACTGGAAGGAAAACTGACCTTCCCACAGAAATGCTGAATTGTTGAGGTTGCAGAAAGTCACTGCAGCGAGACCAGGAAATAATCTTACGATCCATATTTAAACTCTCTTGACTTTGTGTTCAATAATCCAATAAAGGCAGCACAGAAGGAAGACTTGCTATGAAACTCAAACAAAATCACTCATGTTCATGAATATGTCCACATCGTTCTCCTCCTTCTCCTCCTCTTTCATGAGGTTGTTTAGCTGCACTTAGATTGGACTTTGCGATCGACCCTTTGTGTGTCTTTCTGTTTTGTATTTGTTGTTCTCGTTTTATTCTGCCTGTGGTTCTGGGCTTCCATTTCCCTATACTGTATAGCTTTAACCAATAAATAAAAAAAACAAAAGAAAACACACTTCCAACACATGAATCCACTCCTCTGAGCCTTTTCCTACCTCTTTCTATCCATCTCTCTCTCTCTCTCTCTTGCATTACCACTCTCTCCTTGCATGCCTCCCAAGATAATTACTACAAGCCTTGTGAAGATCAACTTGTATTTAAACAGCTGAATAAGCAAGGCCTTGGGGTGCTGACAGTCACTATTCAACAACCGTCAAATGAAATAGTGGAGAAGAAAATAATTTGTGTGCAGCATTACAGGGGACACTGCAGCAAAACACCTTTTGCTTCCATCTTGCGCTATCTGTATGCTCTTTAGTTTTGTGGTTGCACGTGTAGGCGGAAATACTGTATGCGTGTATTTTGATAGTTGCTAGCTACCGAACAAATGTAGCATCTAAACAACAACAACAACAAAAAAGGGCAGAAAGTTGGCATATTTGCAGAACGTATCATGTGTGAAGTTACATGAACGGGCAAATACGCACCTGCTTCGTTGTAAGCGGCAGAGAGCTTTTCCAGTATTTCTCTGTCCAGCGTCAGTATCTGCTGCTCCAGGATGGAGGGGTAGGAGAGGCTTATCCTCTCCCTTTTTTCATCTTTCTCCTTGTCTTTTTCCCTGTCTCGCTCTTTCTCCCGTTCATAGGTCAGTAGCTGCTGGCGCAGAGCCTCTGGCAGGTGGGTCTTAGCAAACTCAGCAGCAGCCTGATAATGGAGAGCAGAGGGAGACAAGTAGAATTAGATGACTGCAGATAAAAAAAAAAAAAAAAATGGTGCTAGAAGAGAATAAATTCTGACATGTTGATGAGGGTGCTTTTCTTTTAATTGGTTATGTTTAAGCAGAAGCATAGGATGCGTAGGTCTCCATTTTCAAATGCATCGAATACTTAAGGGTTATAATGAGCAGAGGTGATTTATCATTTTTCAGCACTAAAGGCAGCTTCTCAGTTCTGAGGATATATATACACTTAAGGTTTAGGAAAATCAAACAAGCAACCATCCACACAATAAATCCTGCCCAAAATGGTGACTTTAATTTATTTACATATACATTTTCCATGTAATTTTGTTACATGCGTTACAATGTAATCATTGTAACAAATCAAATTTACTAGACTGGTATACATTCAGTTTATTTTAAGCACATTTTCCTCACTGATTAATTATTTGAATAAACAAATCTTTGACTTTGTATATTTTAGTTGCACTTTGCACAAAATTATGGCTTCGTGTTTATTGAGGGTAGAGAATCCTTTTTTTTCCTGAGTGCCATAACTTCTTCTGTGTATTCAGTTTAGGTTGGCCAATAAATCTAACATATGCATTGGTTTGCATGAACTCAGAACCCAGGAACAAGAAGCAGAGTTATTCACAGTTGGGGGATCAAACAAGGTGGAGAAACGCTAGCATACCTCAGTGGAAAATATCCCAAAACTGCCAACTGGCACATCTAACACTCACAGATTAGCATCTTTTATTTGTTAAATCCTTACAAAACCCAGAATGTAAAAACAAGATGTTGAGGCCATGTGGAGTGATACATGGTGGAACTATTTTTTGCCAGCAGCTCCCCAGAGTTTTGTCATCATGTTAAGATTTAAAGCTGCCTTACCAGCAATAAAGTAAATAAGCTGATTTCCCAACATGTTCCAAAAACTTTTCCTATTTTGGAGACAGAATTGCAAGTGCAGTAAGTACAGATACGTACACGGTGACTTTGGCGGGCTGGAGTAGCAGTAACCCGCTTGTTCTTTCGGTTTTGCTGAAGCAGATAAATCACAGATAAACAGAGATAAAGAAAAAAAAGTGCACCGCCAATCAAGTGTACACAGGCTAATGCTGTGGGATTGAGCTGAGCTAGAGAAACTTTATCCTCACCACTATCTATTTTACTCTAAGGACATCAACAGATTCTGTACAGATTCCCATCGCAGGTCCAGAGCAAATAATGCCTGCCTCCTCAGGCCCAGGCTTCAGAGAAAGCAGGCCAAGCCAAGGTCATGAGGTACAAATGTCAGATAATATACTGCTAACTTGCTTCTGGTCTGCATGATCCCAGATTCATAAAGCTCATATTTCATGTGGTTTCCCCTCCTAACACTTGCGGTGATTGAAGAGCAGTCAATTAAGAAAACAGAACGAGGGAAAAGGATTGCAATTTCCAGGCATTGGATATAATGATTAGAGGTCGTATGACAGAGAAGCTCAGATGAACCTGATGTCTCGAGTGCTCATACACTGTCCCCATTTAGCTCTCTCTTCTATCCATACCTCCCTCTCTTTCACTCTCCATCTATATCTCATTCTGCTCTGGGAAATTGCTTTCAAGGACTTAGATAACACTGCCTCCTCTGCTTTTTCTCCACACATGAAAACAATTCTTCCACTCCTCTCTTGTTATATCTTGTCAGCATAGTTGAAGCTTTGCTCTGCAAGCTCTGTCAATCCACCCCTATCTTCTCCAATGAAACCAAAACACTGTTATTCATGTGTGGATGTGCATGAATCTGTCTTTCATTTTCCATTTTCCACAGTCACTTTGCTCTACTCCCAAAGTGAGGTTCATTCCAAAATCACCATGAATCTTTTCTGAGAACAATCCCAGATGACATATTCTCATCCCGTGGCTAGCATGAAGGGGGTAGGAGTCACAAACCGAGTTCAAAGGTCAAACATAGAACAGGAAGTCTTTTGTCAGCTTGGGTTACGCTAAGTCAATTAGTGTGCAGTTTAATTGTTTGTCTGCCAGTCCTTAACAAAGCACTGGGGCCACAAACCGTTTCTCCAGCTACATTCCTTTTAACTATTTAACTGCATGTGCACATGCACCAGTCAGTGCGTGCAGGGAAGCCAAGACTTGATTATCTGATCCACAATGGCACATCTGATGCCAGCTTAGTGGATAAAGGGAGAAAAGGTTGGATGGGTGTAGAGCAGGGTGAGGATAGAGACTACTGGAACAGAATAAAAAAAACAAGAATCAAGAATAACAAAACACAAGGAAACAAAATTAAGAATGAGAACAGCAAACAGCATAAGAGCACAGAAGGAATGCAGGGAGGGCTAAAAAAAATAAGAGGGTGGAGCCAGAATAAATGAAGTAAACAGAGCTGGATATCTGAGGTTGTTTTCATAGCTGGGAGAGACAGAGAGAGAGAGAGAGAGGGAGAGAGGGCAAGAACTAAAATTATGAGAAAATTAGAAACTAAAAGTGGGAGGTGATGAAGATGAGTTTATGAAAAAGTGAATGAACAAGTGGTATAAAGGCCTGTTTCAGATAGAAAACACTCATGATCAGTAAAATTATAATTTTTAATTGTGCATTATTTAAAGCTATGTGACTCATGTCGCTGAACTGCTAAATCTTTTGGCATGTGTGCACTGAGATGTGTTTCCTTGTGTATTTTCCTTGATCCTACAGCTAAATGAACTGATTAATGTGCATTTTTGCTGAAAATCGCTCTGAATGGAGAGTGAGCTGCCTTGGGCAGCATTTACTTTTAAGGGAACAGTATTGTACTTTGTATATATTCATGTTGTTTTATTTGTTCTATTTAAACACACTTTAAGGAGTTTGAGATTAAAATTATATTTGTTGCAATCCCCTTTTACCTTTCTTAAAGCAGGAATTCATTAAAGATTGATCAGATGATGATGCTCATGTTGAGAGATGACCAGAAATCTCAACTGAATTGCTTCCTCTGAGAAATACCACCTGAGCATTCGCATTTCCATCGTGTGCAGGGCCTGTTCGTGCTCGGCGGTGGCTGGCCAACACTCCGATCCATACAGAGCAACTGGGCGGATTACAGTTTTGTAAATCTTCGTCTTGAGATGGTCTGGCATTCGACCCTTCCTCGCACGTCTGGAAGGATATCCCCATCGCCACCGATCATCGATCCCAAGTACTTGAATTGGTCGGGCTTCTTCAGGTTGTCGTGTTAATGGTGCCATCAGTTTGGGGGCCAGCTTCCATGTACTCTGTCTTCTTGATGTTGAGTCTCAAACCATGATCGGCCAGGCGCGTCTTCCATTGCTGTGTGTGCTGTTGCAGCTCACTTCTAGATTGATCCACTAGGAATACGTCGTCAGCATATAAGAGTGACCATGGGTGAGGTTGTTGGAGATCAGCGGTCACGGTGTCCATGCATAGTATAAACAGAAGAGGCAAAAGTGCCGAGCCTTGGTGTACACCTACATTGATAGTGAAGGGTAGCACCCTCACAGGGCACCTGACGACGCTGGTGATGTTTGTGTATAATAGTTTGATTCAGTTGACATAAGCTTCTGGGCTCCATGAGAACGTAGGGCATGCCAAATAAGATCGTGTGGTACTCTGTCGAACGCCTTCTCCAGGTCAAGGAAGGCCATGTGGACTGTCGATTTCTTCTCCCGGTGTTTCTCCACAAGCAGCCTTGCAGCATGAATGCCGTCAGTAGTGCCAGACCCCTTGACAAAACCGCACTGGTTTGCCGTGATGGTGGAGATTTGCCTTAGGCGGGCATCCAGGATCCGCTGAAAGATCTTCATAGCATGGCACAGGAGGCGTATTGGGTGGTAGTTGGTGCAGTCAGCCATGTTGCCTTTGGCTTTCCAGATTGGGACTGTGATTCTGGTGCTCCAGGCCGTTGGGGGTTTGCCTTCCTGGGTGATAGCATTGAATAGTGTGTTGAGGGCAGCGCGCCCCGCAAACCAAGGAGCTTCCAGGCTTCAGCAGGGATATTGTCTGGGCCAGGTGCTTTCCCATTCTTCATTTTCTTTATGGCATCTTTGACCTCTGCTGGTGTATTCGGTGGTTCTGGGCCATGGATGGGTGCGGCGCTGAGGATTGGGGGGTGTGGAAATTCTTGGGGCAGACTGACAGAAGCGAGGCTGCCATATTGCGCCATCGGCCCCTCTGGCCAACACCAGTAGGCAAGTAGGGTAAAGTGTCTTTTTGACGTGTTACACCTGACGATGGCCTGTGTGGAGCGATGCCGGCTGTTGACCAGACGATAAATTTTGTTCGCTCCTCCAGGGGTAGCAAGGTCGTGGTACAGCTGGTCGTAATGCGCCGCCTTTGCCACCGCTTTCTTCGCTTTCACCTTCAGGATCTTGTGCCGTTTGTAGTCCTTGTCGTGTCTGGACTGGTGCCACCTTTTCAGCGCGGACTTCTTCTCTTTCATGGAAATTTGGACTTCTGGGTTCCACCACCATATTTGCTTGTCAATAAAGCGCTTTCCTGGCTTGCTCTTCCCCAGGACGCTGGTTGCTGCTTCTCGGATTTGGTCGGCTATATTGTTCCAGGTGGCCTCCACTGGCTGGTTTGGGTCAATGTCAAGAGCGGTTGCACCCAGCGCCACCGCGAGGTTCCGCTTGCATTTGGGCGCACACCACCACTTGATCTTCTCATCGGTGTTGGTTCTCACCTGTCGCCGTTGGCCAACGTCGAGCCTGAGGTCTATGACGAGGAGCCAATGTTGGGTCCTCGTCAGTCAAAGCTAAAAATGTTTTCGCCTGATAATGAACTTCAGTATTTGATAAATAAAACAGTCTCTGAATGAAAGTATTGATTTGTTAATAAATGGGTCCAGATAGAATTTTTGCACTGCTAAAAATGATCATTATAACTGTGAGTCCCGACATCAGTCATGGTGGTGCAGAGCATCACACACGGCTCTCCTTCTGCTTTGTGCATCAAGAGAGCACAAAGCTATACGTCTATA